ACTACCCTATTGCCCGTGTCCATGGGCTATGCACATAAGTATATACATTCTTTGGTTTATCTTCATGGAGATTTCTTGGAAAAACTGAAGGGCTGGAATTCCTGAATGAGATGGAAGGATTATTTAGTGATGAAGCAAATCTTTTTCTAAGGGAAATGAGAAGAACTGTGATGCCCAGAATGAAACCAAACTGACTGAAGGGTGCTCTGTAGCTAGGAAGTGAGGGCTGATGGGGAAGATCAAGGCAACTGCTCAAAGTGGAGAGGAGCCACTGGAATGGCCAGATGTGAGATTAAGATAAATATATGGGGGGGGGATGGGAGAGAGAAATAGGGGAGTGTAAGTGCATCCTCAGTGACATAACGTCCCATGCCAAGATGAAGGACAAGGAAATATGATTACTATTACTTTGATTGTAAGGCCAATGAATTTTATATAAATCAGCTCCAATTATCATCATCCTCATCAAAAAATAGCTGAAAAGTCAGTGAGAGCAGGCTGCCAGGAATCTCTGCCATCCCTTCCTCAACCCTTAACAGTGACTCAAAGACAAGCAAATCAGAGGGCAAGGAGATAGAGCAGAAAGTGTCTGGGCTTTTGTCCAGACAGACATGAACTTGAAACAGATTCATCATCTATAAATAAAAATATCAGTGCCTAGGGTTGTGTGTATATTAAATAGTGCATTTTCATAATGTAAATTGGTGCAGCCACTATAAAAACAGTATGAAGTTCCTCAAATATATAAAAATAGAGTACCACTCATAATGTAAATTGGTGCAGCCACTATAAAAACAGTACGGAAGTTCCTCAAATAAATAAAAATAGAGTACCACATGGCCCAGCAATCCCTCTTCTGGGTATCTACATGAAAAAATTGAAAACACTTATTTGTAAGGACATATGTATCACTATGTTCACTGCAGCATTATACACAATGGCCAAGGCATAGAAACAACCTAAGTGTCCTTCAATAGATGATTATATAAAGAAAATGTGGTACATATACACAATGGAATACTGCTAGGCCACAAAAAATATGAATTACTGCCACATGACATACTGCTAAATAAAATAAGTCAGGCAGAAAAGGCCAAGAACCTTGTGATTTCACTCATGTGTGGGATATAAAACAGAAAGCAACAAACAAACACCCCCCCACCCCCACACACAAACTCATAGACACAGATACAGTCTGATGGCTACCAGAAGGAAAGGGAGATGAGGATGAGGAGGATAAAGGAAGTCAAATACAAGGTGAAAGAAGGAGACTAGGCTTCGAGTGGTGAGCACACAATAGCAAATACAGATGTCATAATATAAAGATGTTCACTTGAAACTTGTATAATGCTATTAACCAATGTCACCCCAATAAATGTGATAAAAGAGAAAATATTTTAAAATATTAAATCATGTCCTAGGATTGTTGGGAGTATTAAATGGGGAAAATTATTGAAAGTGCCTAACATACAGCAGGCACTCAGCAAATGACAGCGCCCTCCTCTCTACCCCAGATCTCCAGTTGAAAAGCTGTTTTTGCTCCATACTCACAATCATTTTGGCCGGCCAAGCTGAGGCTGCCTGCATTTGAACTGTCCAGGCTGCTGCCAAGATGGAGTCTTCTCATATGCCTCACAACGGCGGTGGCATTAAACGCTTGCTGAAATTGAAGAAAGGACAAAAGCAGGCAAAATAATTCCAGTTAATGAAAAAGATGCAGACTGCCTCCTAATATTTTTCCTGTCACTCGAAGCATTTCAAATTTCTAAAAATGTTCTCGTGATACTCTAGAAAGAAAATTTACATTGCCCCTTCTTCCAAAAGTATACCAATGGATTTGACCCCTCTCCCAATCAAAATATATTTTGGAGAAAAAAACATTTTTCTTCTCACATAATAGACATACAGAATAAACGTAAACTAGTTCTCTCTATAATCTAAGAGAAGTGAAATTAGAAAACATGACATTTTAAAATAATTTTAATTTTCCTATTACTGGTGATTCTGTACTAAAGTATAGTAGCCTCGGAATAAAGGAGGTAGGTGGAACTGATTTTGTTTCTGTATGGCCCCTCACTGCTGGCACTTAAGGACCCGAGTTGATTAGAACACTGGTTTACCGAGGTAACCGGTTGATGGTCACAAAGCCCCAATAATTTACATTCATCACATTTTTATCAGAAAGGATGGATGGGTTCAACTCAGATTTCCTGTTCGTCTCCCTGTAATGTCACTTTAAGTCCCAGCCAGGTGAAGAAAGCAAAACCACGTTAAGGCACAGCACGTGAGTTGGAGCTGGCGCTACTGCCATTTTTGACTCACAGAGGGGAAATTTTAAATCTCAGACTTCATTCCTCTCACACCATGATAGTCCCTTCAAGTCTTCATTATTATTGGTTAAAATTAGCAAAATTATTTGGGTGAGGGTCTGGGGGCTTTTCATCAAACGCAGTGACAGTGACCCTTAGAAAGAAAAAATGCTCAAACTGCAAGGTAAGTGAGTGGTTAGACTCACTGGGAGTCTGATCAACACAGGACTTACTCTCCATTTGCTCTTGGCGAAGTTCTTCCGGATCTGGGCACTGACGGACTCGTGGATGTTCTTGTTGAGGGCCGTGTCCCCTGCGATCCTGAAACACAGGCAAAGATGCTTCTTCTGAAGAGGCTCTTGGGGGGCTCTGGCACGGGCGGACCCTGCTTTCCTGGAAGCCTCATCCTGACCTTTTCCGGAGGGTGCTGGCTTGGCCCCGCCCTCCCAGGCTGCTCTTGTCTGTGCACAGATCACAGGCACTCCAAGGTCTGTCGATTTCTACTCCAAGTCCTGTCAACTTCCACACACTGCAACCTCTCCAGGGAGGGTCAGCACCTTCATGGTTGACCTCTGCCTGACTCACTTTTTCCTTTTTTGACCCCCATTCCTGCGGCATCCACAATGACAACACATCCTGACCTCAGTTTCCATCCCTTTCCCCCTTTCTTCTCCCTCCCCCCACCTCTACGCCAGTTTTCTACCTGCAGCTTCGCCTCCACCATCTCAAATGTGTTCCCTGCCTGGTCTGACCACCAGAACCCTCCCGGGCCTTCTTCCCAGCCTCCTCCTGCCTGAGGCCCCTCTCTGCCTGCTCTGGGCCCTCCTTCCCGTGGACCAGCTCACACCTGCGGCCCACAGCTCCCTTCTGGTTCCATCCTCACTGAGCTGAGCTCTGCAGCATCTGCTCACCTACAAGCACCCTGGGCACCCAGCCCCCTCTCTGTGCTCAGGGTGAGGGCCTAACCCTAGCTCAGCTCTGCTTGGCACCCCTACTCCTGAATTTCCCAGATAAGCCCTCATAAATGCCAGGACACATCCACTTTACAGTCAGCTGGGTCCTTGGTGTTACTGGGCACTAGTTCTTGCTTGTCCCTTAGTCTTCTATTAGCAACGAAGAAGGTAGGTTTGCTCTTTACCTCCTGTCCTTAGAGTTCCCCTCAGCCTATGATTTCCTCCCTCTGCCCCCACCCCATATTATACCCCCCTCTCTCCTCTTCTCTCTTCCCTGACAGCCTCTCTGGTCTTAGTCATCACCCGCAGGTCACTCCTAGCCCATTCCTCTCCCACACATCCCTTCCCTCCCTCACACCACCCTCCCTCCACATTCACCGCTGGCCTCTCCCCGGGAGAGAGGAAGCTGTATTTTGCGCTTAGTCCTGTGGGCTTGGAACCTTCCATCTTATCAGCAAACCAAGACATTCTAGGTTCATCTTTGATGCCTAAAAAATAATTTCTTGCATCTTGGAGAACTTAAAGGGCAGACAGGTGATGGGGACACTGAGCATCCTTTCTGGCTGGAAGGTTTGTGAGGAAACCTGTCGCTCCCAGCCCCAAAGGGTCCTGGACACTAAACAGCCCGGATGTCAGACTATTAAGTCCACATGTTTTGGGAAATGAAAGGAAGACGCTCAGGGCTTATTCAGACAAGAAATAATCCCCGGATACAAAATGTGTTCCTACCCAGCCTTTCACGTTAGAACTGAAAACATGGCTGAGGGACTGAACATGAAGTCTGTGCCAGGCTGGGCCTACGTCTAGAATCCAGTCTGATGTTCCTGCTCAAAGCAGCTCCCCCTACAGACCCTGCTCCCAGCAGGGCTGAAGGCACTTAGCCCAGAGGACACTCAGATCTAACCTCGTGGCCAGATTTCCACTTCCAACAACTGCCAGTCACCCTTCCCCCAGACACATTGTGAACAGAGATAGGATGTCTGAGTGGGCAAGCATCCCAAACCCGACAGCCAGGGGCTGGGGCTGTGGACATGGTTAGCAGGCGTCTTCTCCTGGAGAGCTCGTGAGTAATTCCTCCTGCTCTGTTTATAAAGTTACATCCTCAGGAAAGGAGGCCACTCCAACCCGGTGGCCAGCTCTTTCTTGGAAACAGCCGCAGAGTGGTAGGAAGTATGGAACTCGCGGGGCTGAGCACGGCCACAGTGCAGAGCCGCCCTCCAAACCAAACAGGCCAGCGAGCAGGCAGACACTCCCTTCTCTGTGGGTGAGCGTGGGCCCAGATGGAAGGAAAATGCACACTTCCAATTATCTCAGGAATGTTCCATGCTCCCTTCCCACAGCCCTAGGGGAAGCCGCGCTGGGGAAGAACCAAGTAGGGCAGATGCAGCGTCCTCAGGCTCCTGCTGGGCAGTGGCCCTGGGGAGCAGTCGCCTGGGCTGCCAGCACAGGCTCCCCCTCCTCGGGCACCGCCGGGAAACGGAGGCTGCTGCTCGCAGGAGCAGGCCGGTCACAGCGACAAGGTGTGGGCTCCTGAAGTTCAGTGCTGCTAGGTCAGCCTTAGCATCAACAAAAGGAGGCAGGGAATTGGAGAACTGGAAGGAGCCTTAGTTGTCATCTCATTGTCCTAGGAATATGTGATACGTGATGCCTCCACTACAGGAAAATTTCCTTATAAACACACACACACACACACACACACACACACACACACACGTCTCCTATTATCCCTTGCTTTTCAGTTTTTTCCTCTATTCCAACACTGCAGGTGGCATTTCTATAAATCACTCTGTCCTCCGCCACACAGAGCACCAACTCATCTCTCCTGGCCTTGGAGTTCTTGGTGTTTCCTACACAGGCTGCTCTGCCTCCACAGTTCTGACTTGGCATTTTTCTAGCCACTTGCTCAAGACCGGCGTGGGGATGACTGTGTGCCTCAGTCGGGGTCTCCCAGACTCCTGGGCTGTGTCCTAATTCCAGCGTGGCTGGATGGAGACAGAAGATGGGAGGGGTCTCCGTGAATACCAAGGGCTGCAGGTGCCACCCTGGCCTGGCTGACATGGCAGGTCTGAAGGTGGACACACTGCCATTGTCATGGGCACCGGTCACTGGGGCCCAGGATCATCACTCTGGTTTGCTTGTCACTCACTGAGACTGGAGACTGAGGTTCAGAACAATCTGAACCCCGTCAAGCTTCTTCCCTGTAACCAGGAGTGGGTTCCCACATGCTGCTTGCCATTCCCTACTCTTCGGCCGCCAGCCAGCAGCCTGCAGGCCCCTGTCCATGCACCACCAGGAGAAAGGCAAGGCCTGCAGGGGGGCTCAGGAAACACCTGGTGCGGTGGGCGGCTGCCCTCCACAAGGAGCCCCTCCTGGCTGGAGTGTCTGCTTTGAGGCTAAGGGAAGGCGTCTGTGACTTCAGAGGCCTCTCCTGGCCCTCGGTGGCCTTGATTACGCTGGAAGAGCAAGTGCAGAATAAGAGGAGGTGCTCTCTGGAGAGAGTTGATGTGTGGCGATGGCGGATTCCAGAATGGTGATGCCCACAGAGCCAGGCATCACTGGGACAGCCACTCCACTCCTCGCTGGCTCTCAGCTGAATCCACGTTCTTCTTCACCCGGGAACTTCACATAAAAGAAACAGGCATAGCATACAGGCAAGCAAGGGGGCTTTTAATGATTCTTGAGTCAAATGCATTCTTTCTTCTTCTTCTTCTTTTAAAAATCACTTTCCAATGTTTGACTTCTTGGGAATTTTGAAATGAATAGTAAAAATTATAAAAAAACTGGAGGGAAAAATACCCCTGAAGAAGGCATTTATGTGTTCAGTTCGCAATTAACATGTCCTAATGTGACCCAGGCTGATGACTCAGGTCTTCACCTCTTGCACTTTTCCCCAGCCCCAGACTCATTCAGCACAGCACACACCACAGTCACCCTCTCCTGGGCCGCCAGGTTGAGTTTTCTGAAATGTAAATCTGATCACCCTGCTTAAAACCTGCTAGGGGCCCCCACTGCCCAAAGGGAAAAGTACACATTCCTTAGCACAATCCTAAAATAATGGCAATTCTTATAGATTGGAGACTTATTAGGTCCTAGGTACTCGTCTTCTCTTTTGTATGTATTATCTCATTTAACCCCTGGAAAAGCCCTGTAGGGTATATACTACTGTTATTTATGATCTCTATTCTACAGGGGAGGCCCAAAGGGTCAAAGAGCTTGCCCACCACTCAGTAATAGTGGTGAAACCAGGACAAGCAGGGCTCATGCCAGAACCCTAGTTCTGCCTTCCTTTCTAGTCTCATCTCCCACCTCACTCCTCTGTCCCTCTTGCTCCAGGAATACCTGGTGCTGTGGCAAGAGGGATTGGCGTGTAGCATATGCCGCCAGCAGGACCCAGGCGGCTCTCGGGCCTGCAACCCCTCCCTGTCTGGGTGACCCGGTGAAAGGGTTCTCTTAGCATGTGGCTCGCATTGCTGTGAAGTCCTTGATTCTGCTGAGGCCACCCTGTCCCTCTGCCAGGCCCTTCAATGACCTCTCCTTCTTTACACTTGAGTAAAAATGACCTCTCCTTTGGTTTTTCAAAAATGGCTGGTGAAGGAGAAACTGGGCTTTAACGCTCCTTCTGCCTTCCACGAAGTGAGGCTGTATTAGTGAACAAGTACTTGGAAGCAAATCACTTCCCTTCTTCCTTTTTAAAATCCTCACTGGAGGATATATTTACTATTGATTTTAGAGAGAGTGGAAAGAAGGGGGTGGGGGAGAGGAAAGAGAGAGAAACATCGATGTGAGAGAGCCACATCAATTGCCTCCCACACTAGCCTCAACCAGCATGGGGAACCTGCAACCTAAGTACGTGCCCTTGACTGGAATTGAACCCACGACTCCTTGGTTCAAGTGCCAATATACTAACCACTGAGCCATGCCCTTCCCTTCTTTTGAGGTCATTTCCATCCTTTATAAGATAATCCCCAAAGTCTCATACATATAAGACAAATGAGTCCTGGGGATGGAATGTACGTGATGAGTACGGTTACACTACGTATGGTATATCCTAAAGCTTCTCATTACAAGGAAAAAACAATTTTGAAGGTGATGGATGTTAACTCAACTTATTGTGGTAATCATTTCACAGTAAATATGAATGTCAAGTCATTCTACTGTACACCTTAACCTTACACAGTGTTGTATGTCAATTATATCTCAATAAAACTGGAAAAAAAGGTCTTACAGATTTAAAGGCCCATTGTTTAAAAGGTAAGAAAACTTGATTATCTTTATGGCCACATACTTTGACCTATTGTACAGAATGACTTCCTAAAACAAATGATCAAGATGCTATATAATAAAAACTGTCTCCTTACCCAGAAAATTATTTATTTACCCCTCTAGCCCTTTCCTTCTTTCCCCTTTACATCTCTTATCTGCAGGTGGGGAAGAGCACTCATTTTGGAGTCCCCCAGTTCTGGCTGGAAACAGTTCTGGCTTTGCCATTACGTAGTTGTATTGTCTTGGCTAAGTTACTTCACCTTTCCAAATCCATTTCCTTACCTCTGACATGGAGATAAAGCCTACCTTACAAGGTTATTGGAAAGAAGCAAAATGAGATACTATTAATGCAGTTAGTACAGTACCTGGAACATAATAGATGCTCAATAAATGATGGCTGTTATTATAAATTAAAATGCTGTGAAACTGGGTCATGGCACTACCCTAAGTAGCTCCTCTCTGGGGGTTAACCAGCATATGAGACCCTGGAGGAAATGCCACAAGGGATGATGGAATAAACCCGGGGACAGTCTTCTAGAGTGTTTCCTAGAGGGAATTTCTCCCAAAATCAAAGTTCCATTCATTTGTTTTCATTATATTGCATATTTTAATACTCCTGGCCTTTGTTTCAAGTGGATGCTCCTGTTGCTTTAGCAATAACAGCTAACGAAGCATTTACTCTATACCAGACATCGCGACAAACCCTTGACATGCATTATCTCAGTTATTTCTTACATCAACACTATCAACTAGGTATCGGTACCCTCATTTTAAAGATGAGAAAACTGGGGCAAGAGAAGTTAAGTATAAGCCCAAAATCACAGCTAGTTGATAGTGAAGGTGGTTCAAATCTACTAAGTTTGATAACCAACATGGCCTCAAGGGCACTGCTGAAATGTACATAGAATGCATCAACCATCGGCTGATCCCTCTGGAAGTGAAGAAAGACTAACTTGAAAAGCATCTTAGAAGGGAAAAATATATAACTCAATTCATTTAACTACTGAGCAATAAACCCAAGGAATAAAACTCCCATCTTAATGCCTCGTTGGGCAATTACCTTCACTAAAAATGGTCCTAAAATATTCATGTAAAGTGAAAAAGCTACAGCTATCTTTCCCACACTTAACCTGTCATTAGTGCACTTGGGAGGCTGAGCCTGAGAGAACAAAAGATCCCGCGTGCTGGCATGGGACAGTATCGAGGCCCCTGGTAGAGTGACATGCAAGCATTGCTGGGCTTTCCCAGTTCCTGACAGCCAACAGGACGTCACCCTGGGAAGGCAGTAGACACACGATCCCTCTAGTGGGTGCTCATTCTTACCATGGGTGCCGAGCTGCCTGCTCACATGTGTATCTTTTGTTTGGATCTTTCTCCATCAGATTCCGAATGAAGTCTTTTGCTGTTCAGAAAGGAAGCACAAGGGAAGGAATCAGTCTGTGGCTTGAGCTATGATACCAGCAGTCTCTGAGAGTGTCGTGTGCAGCATGGAAATGACGAGACCAGCCCTCCACGGACCTTACCGTACCCTGGACACGGGTACCAGAGTTTGGGGAAAAGGGAAGCCCAGGTTTGGGGCTCTGAAAGGTGACCTGCCAGTGAAGAGGCAGCCAGGCCAGGGCTGGGCCCTGCCCTCCCCACTCCAGCCCCTTCCCTCTGGCAGCTAGGGGCACTTTCGGTTCAGAGATGAAATATCTTTGTCACCACGGGACTTTCATTCTGCTCACTGCTGCCATGGGGAGCTGGTTTGTGGATGTCCTCTGCATGTTTTAGAATTCAACATTTGCTAAGCTGGCCAGGTCCTGGACTAGCTGGTGCAGTGAGATGGGCCCTGGTGGGAAGTGCAGTGCTTGAAGGCCCTGGATGGGGTGTGGCCCAACAGCAAACAACTGAGAACATGTGAGACCAGGTCACAGGATCGGAAGATGACAGCTGTGGGGCAGGCTGGAAATCTGCAGCCTCTATGGTCTGGCAGCTCACTGCCCGCAGCCTGGGCTTCTGGGGGAAGGCCATGCCCTTCCCAGGTGACAAGTAAAATATTCCCCACATGGTTCTTTCCTGCAAGCCTTGGAGAACTGTTCTTCAGGTTTTGGAAGATTGAGGAAGGAAGCAGATGTTTCCAGTTAGAAGGAAATAACACAAATAAGAAAATGCAATATTTGAATAGCTCATCAGTGAGTACAAAACTCTGTTTCATTTATTATTTTATTTGATTCTTATACCATCCTTCTTGATAGGAAGTATTACTACTGTCCTCTTCATATCAGCTTGAGAAATTTCGTCAGTTTATATGGGCCTTGGTTTTGACCTTTACCCCCGAGGAAGAAACGCTGAACTTCCCTGGGGACGTTTTAGTGTGGTGTGGCAACTGAGACGTGGGCTCTGGATTTGGTCTTGGCTTGAGTCCCAGTTCTGCCACATACTACCTGTGTGACTTGAGACAAGTTATTTCACCTTCTGGGCCTCAGTTTCCTCATCTGTCAAATGGGTTAATAGCAATACCATCTGATAGGTTGTCCTGAGGATTGAGTGAGGGAGCACATGTGCACAGCTTCAGGGCTCAGGACACAGTAAGCACTCAATAGATATTAGCTAATATGGTTTCACTTCTTGGGGCACCCAGGTCAGGGCAAGGCTAGGATTTTGTAGAGGAGTGAGTCCCTGTCCCATGACTTGATTTGGGCCCCCTGCCCTCCACTTTGCTAGTCAAGCCCAAGTGCAGAGTGTCCTGTCAGGTCAGGTAAGGGCGTACCATCCCAGGGCGGCCCACCAGGAGCCAAGACTTACCAGAGTCAGAGATGTCATCCCAGTAGGGGGAGTCGAACTCATACTCTGCCTTGAGGATCTGTTCAAAGAGCTTGGAGTCATTTTCATCATAAAAGGGAGGGTAGCCACAGAGCCTGGAAGACAAGATAAAGGAAGAATCTGAAACACTGCATCTCCAGTGTGGCAGTCAGATACCTGCCTGCAAGGAAGGCTGTTTTCATGCCAGTTGAGAAAACCCCACTGTGCGCGCTGCAGACACAGTCTGAGCAAGGCTCACATGCTCTGCAGGCACAGGCGGCACACAAGTGAATTCATGGTGCACTCAAGAACAAAGAGGGCCAACTCAGGTGATAACTGAGGTCCACCCTGATTCCATACATCATTCAACACAGAGTCGCATACACTTAAAACCCACCAGACAGCCTTCTGTGTATTAATGTTATTGATCTTAGTGTCTCTGATATTGCCCCTTTATAGATGATGGGTCAGTGGGGAAAAACACACAAAATATAAGTTTATTACTCATTTAGGGCCTGTTCTAGGTTCATTTTGCTTAATAAATCATCATAGGAAGAAAAAGAAATTTTATCAGCATGAGTACCAAGTTGCCACAAGTCACCTTAACTTGTACATTATCACCCTATCATGCCAACCCTGGGTATTTTAAAGGTTATAGTTTTGCCAATGAATATACAATAAGCATAAGTTGCCACAAATTAGAATACTATCACCCTTTTCCACTGAACCCTCTCAAAGTTGATTTTTAAATTGGGATGTTGGGATTGGTGTAAGTAACATATAGTTCTGGAGACACCAACAGTCATCTAACAAACATAACATAATAACCCCAAATACAATTCATTCCATAAAATCGTAGGTTCTCACTCCAGTTCTACTATCATCTCCAATGCCACTTTCACCATCAGTAGGCCACTGATACTCTCTGGACCCAAATTTTCTCATCTGAACATGGAGAGGACAGACCAGAAAATTCCCTATAATATATCTGGCTTTAAGATGCTATGTTTCTGTGACTTCCTGTCCCGTTTTGCTTGGCTGGTCAAGACCCAGGGGAAGGTCTCGTACGTGCTTGAGGTCCACATGGGGCAGAGACAGGCCCAGTTGGGAATGGACAGTGGGAAGGGGTGGGATTGCGGCTGGGGCTGTCAGGGTGAACAGAGCAGGAGGCAGGGCTGGGTTCTGGAAGGCCAGGTGTAAGCTGGGTAGCACAGAACTTGCCCTCGACAGCCTAGAGCGTGGCAGCCACAGTGGGAGTTCCACCCCCACACAAGTTCCTAATCTTCTCACATAGCCAAACTGCGCAGAACACAGCTACAGCCTAGAGATCGGTGTAATGAGGACAAATTAACAGGAATCAACAGACTCCAGGCCTGCACGGGACGGGGCTTGTCAGCAAATAAGGAATTGCCACTCCTGCCACAAAACGTAGTGTCACCAGCCAGGCTGCACAGGGGACTGGCTGGTGACATCTTTAATGGCTATAAGACCTTCTTGGGCTGATAGGATTCTAAAGCATCTATCCCCACAGGGCTGATTTAGGATCCAAGTACCTATTTCATTGAAAATATTTTTATTGATTTCAGAGATATGCAAAAAATGTTTTGAGTACAGAGAGCATGGACATTGAACCGGAATAGTTTTTTGAGGGTGGAAGTAGCAGATGCCTGTGCTTTGTCTCAGGATGAGCAGAGTTTTATAGGAGACAGAGGGGCCGCAGTGGGGAGGGCTAACCAGGAATAAAGGCATGGAGGCATGAAGGGCACAGTTTATTCAAGAACTAAGAGCAATTTGCGGCTGCTCTGGCATAAAACCTGTCAGTCAGTAGTAGGGACGGTGGTGAAAGGGACAGTGGGAGGCCAGGGAGGCTGTGCTCCCACACTGAGGTACCAGGTGTACTGGTTAGTAAAGCGGATTTTTTCAATAGATGGAGTTACACATATGTTGATATATATGCAATTTGATATGTATGCTATTTTGTTGTATTGACAGCAGCTTCACAACTTCATATGTCAAATTTGCTGAAGGTGTAAACATCATAGATATTCTTACGCTTAAAAATGTTGAATTTTGTGCCAGAAAAAGAGCATTTGCGGGAAGTTTTAATTCATTTTGAAGAAAAGTGCTGCTGAAAGTTATCATATACTTTGGGAAGCTTATGGTGAACATGCTTCATCTCAAGATACTTGTGAACGCTGGTTTAAACGCTTTAAAAGTGATGATTTCAATGTGAAAGACAAAGAACGTCCAGGTCAACTGAAAAAGTTTGAAGACCAACAATTACAAGCATTATTGGACAACTGAACGAAAGACAAATGGAAAACTGAAAAGTCATCAGTAAAATGTTGCTTCAATGGCATGAAAGAAAGTCTTTTTGCATCGAATTGTGACTGGCGATGAAAAGTGGATTTATTTTGAGAATCCCAAAGGCACAGAATCGTGGGTTTATCCAGGTCAACCATCCACATCTACTGCAAGGCCAAATCGCTTCAGAAAGAAGACAATGCTCTGCGTTTGGTGGGATCAGGAAGGTGTGGTGTATTATGAGCTTCTAAAACCAGGTGAAACCATTAATACTGATCGCTACTGACAACAAATAATCAATTTGAACCATGCTTTGATCGTAAAACGACCAGAATGGGTCAGAAGACACGGCAAAGTAATTTTGCTTCATGATAATGCACCATCACACACTTCAAAACCCGTTAAAGACACGTTAAAAAATCTTGCCTGGGAAGTATTAACCCACCCACTGTATTCATCAGACCTTGCCCCTTCAGATTACCACTTGTTCCAATCGATGGCACACACTCTTTCTAAGCAGCACTTCAAAACGTATGAAGAAGTGGAAATTGGGTCTCTGAATGGTTTGCCTCAAAACAAGAATAGTTCTATTGGGATGGATCCACAAATTACCTGAAAGATGGGGAAATGTGTAGCTAGCGATGGACATTACTTTGAATAAAGCACTTTTTATGTTTCTCTTGAAATTATCGTGGTTTCTTGGATTACAAAATCCGCATTATTAACCGGTACACCTGGTAGACAGCCTATCCTTCAGGTACCAGGAAGCCCCCAAAAAGTATAGACGAAGGAGGTTCCTGGGCAAATGGCTTTGCAGCTGAGGAGAGGAGGGTAGACATGAGGCAGGAAGACAAGCAGCTATACCAAGCCAAGGAAGGACAGGCGTCTGCAGGTGGTGGCAGCTGGATCTGGGGGACAGAAAGATCCCCACAGGAGTTCAGAGAGAAAACACCGGAGGGTCTGGGGTCTTCCGTGTGGCAAGTGAAGGCCAGGGCAGCAGGTCTCCAGCAAGGACTGGGGCTGCCATCTCTGTGGTGAGGACACAGGAGGAAGAGAAGGTCCATGAATGGCCCCTATGTCACCACAGCACCTGGAGTTCCAACTCCTCCATCGCTGGCCCCACTCAGGGAAGTAGCTCTGGGCAGCTGCTGTGTGTGTGGGGGGGAGCCTGACCCTCCACTGGGGAACTCGTGGGACAGGCTGACATCAGCAGTAATTAGTTCTTGTAGCCACACTGGGTCTTGCCTAGGCGTGGGCTGAAGACTAGAAAAGGCTGGGAGGAGAGAGAGCTGATGGAATAGACATGGAGAGAGCAGCAGATATGCCAGGAGAGAAATACCAGCTCAGGGGTGAGAATGTGAGAGGGGCCAGTGCCCGGGGCTATACCAACGTTGGGGGCTTCTGTTCAGCCTACACAAAGCTGTGCAACAAATCCCTTTTCCTTAATGTAACTGGAAAGAATCTGTTCTTTGCAACTAAAAGCACCAGCAATCCCACAGTGGATAGATGAACAATTCCATTCAAGCTGTGGTGAGCTGGACCAGGTGTGTGTGAGGGCAGCCAGCAGGCAGTGGGGACACACGCCTGAAGCCAGGGACTTGCTGTGGTCTGGGATGCTAAATTAAAGCCATCATCATTTGCATGCAAGCTGGGAGAGTGGGTAAGATCACTCAGCAAGAATTTATAGACACTGGAGCTGCGGACTGATCCTCCACAGGCTTCATCTGGCCCACAGATGTGTTTTGTACACTAGTGGCCAGCAGTGACTGAAAACAAATGTGATTTCGAATGCCCATAGACAGTGCTGATCCAGCTAGTTCACCACAGTCTCCACTAGTCCCTATTGCTCACACCCAGCTAGACACATGTACATCCTCTACCACCAGGCCCTCCTTTCTCTAAGTTGGTGCCATTGAGTCGAGGGCCACAAATGGCGGTCTGCAGAAAGCAACTTTTAGGGGGAAGAGGGGCTGTAGCATTGTGTTAGGCGCTGTTGGCTACAAGAGCTGCATGAGAGTTCCTGCTGTCACAGATGCCCCAAACGGGTGTGTGTGTGTGGTTTCCTCCTTGGCAATTGCTGCAAGAATTTGGGGAGAGTGAGAAGCCTGAGAGTGGTGATGAGGGAAGGCTCCTGGGAGGAGGTGTGACCTGTGCTGTGATTCCAGGCCGGGCCCATCAGACTCACCTGGGAAGCGAGTAAAACCCTGAATCCTCCAAAAACTGAGTGGGTCCAAATCTCTAAGAGCTGGGCCCAAGTGCCTTTACTTTTCTTCTTCTTAAAAAAACAAAAACCTTATATAGGAATTCATGCTCATAGTTAAAAAGTTCAAATATAGAAGAGTATAGGGAAAATTTCCTTCCTGATCCACATTCCCACTCCTGCTATTAATTTCCTGTGAATGCTTTTCAGAAATTTTCTTGGCATATAAAGCATGGATGTATGTGCATGCGGGACAAGATTTCAAATTACCTGGAAGTTTAGCATTGACTCTATGGCTGTATACAAACAGCTAGTTTGTTTCTTTGCATGTTCCAGAAAGTCCCTAGCAGGGGGAATACGCTTGATTTTTCCCTCTCGAGTATTCACTGAGCATCAGCCGCCCCTTCCTGCCTTCTGACCCAGAAGAGAGCACAGGCCTGCCGCAGCCGCCCCACCTCCTGGGCAGGCCCGCAGGTCCCCACTGAGGACAGAGGATCACAGACCGCCCTCCAGGCAGTCCTCTGGCTGCACCCAGACACTGACCAGGCATCAGCTGCGGCCCAGGCCTGGGGTCCAGCACTGAATGAGACTCTCATGGTGCTTACATTCTAC